GTCGAGGTCAAGGTCAGGGAGTGGTGGAGACGCCTTTCCCGGGCGGTTTAGAGGGGGACGTGCCTCCCGAGGCCTCCATCCTCGCCTGCCTCTGCCCCTGACCACTGTGCCTGGACGGAGGGATCAGGAGCCCAAGGGGAGCACAGAGCCACCCTCGTCACCTCCTCGAATCCAGCACCCACACCCACTCGAGCCCTGGGCGAGAGGCAGCAGAAGGTGCGCGCACAGGTGCACACGCAGGCACTCAGCACCTAGTCACCCAGGAACCTGGCTCTCTCCCCGCCCAGCCCCTCCTTCCCACATCACCAAACAGCAAAAGCCCAAGGGGGCTCTTGAAGAAGAAGTAACGTGTGATTTAAATCACTGAGACTGACTCAGCTGTAAAAGGACCCGTGAGCAGCTCTAGCCTGAAAATGCACGGCTGGAGGGGACTGAGGGTTCAACTGCCCACCAAGACGGTCAGGCTGACACCGCCCTGGTCCCCCACCCCTGCCCCACGGCTTCAGCTCCCCCTGGACACAGCCCCCCGATTTCTCTCTCTAGTCCTGAGGGTGTGTGACTCCAGGGATGTGCCCCAGCACTTCAAAACCACCAGGATCAAACCTGGGTCCAGAATCTCCCACTGTGTCCTGTCCCTCCCGGGCCTGGCCCTGGGAGAGGCCCCAGCTCATCCCCACAGCCTCTCCCCCGAGGGAGGCGCATCTGCCTCCACCCCCACAGCACCCCCACCAGCCCAGGCCGCACACGGGGTCAGGACAGAGGTGTCCTTACAAACTGCGGGGAAAGCTGGGCCAGCAGCTCCCAGCCCCGCACAGGAGTGAGTGACTGGGGAGCCGGGCTGGACTCCCAGGCATGCCAGTCAGGGCCCAAGGGGGCATGGCCAGTGGGTCTGGTAGGGAGACACTTCCAGGGACCCCCAGCTGTTCAGCTGCACCCCAAACTCCAGTTACCCAAGAGCCCCAGTCTCAGCCCTGGAGCTGAACACCCGGCCAGGAAAGAGACACAGAGACAGGTGCCCTCCAGGTTCGCAGGCAGGAGCCTGGGCGGGCGGCCTCTGCGGGGGGCACTGGCCTCTGGGCTCCTGGCCCCTCCTCTCCTGAAGGGCCCCACCCCAGGCCCAGATCCCAGCAGGGCCCGTTGGGCTGTCACAGTCCTGGGGCGCCCCCTGCTGGTTCCTTTGGGAAAACAGCCAGTAAACCAGACCCCACCCAGCGCAAGGGCTCAGAGGAAAGACCTCCATCCCCCCCTTCACCCAGATACCCCAACACATTAGTCAAACAAACGAAGGGGTGAGTGAGTGAATTGCAACAAGAAAACAACGGACAAATGACCTTTAAAAATGCGGCCCCAGATGAGGCTTGTCAGAACCAGAGCCCCCGACCTTCGGTGCACCCAGGGCGTGTAGGTTCCAGGAAAGTTTGCAGGGAGGAGATGCTGGGGGCGGGGGGGGGGGGGGGGGGGGGATAGAGGTTTTGTCATTAAAAACTTGTTGGGCCCAAAGGGGGAGACAAGAAAGCCTCAGAACCGGAATAAAAATCCTTCCCGGGGACCTTCCCCAGATCAATGTGAAGAACAAAACTCTTAACACTTTTAAAAGGAAATATGGGAAACAGTCTTCATGAGCTCTGAAACGGCACCCAATTATTTTAAAAAGCACCCCAAAAAAGTCACACACACCCACACACACACTCACACACACACACTCACGCACGCACTCACGCACGCACTCACACACATTCACACACACTCACACACACACACTCACACACACACACTCACACACACACACAAACACACACACACACTCACACACACACGTGTAGGAAACGGTCTACATTCAAATGAAAAGCTGCTGGACCAATGAGCAAACAGATCAACAGCGAAAAGCCGCACAACCAGCCCAGGAAATGGCATTTCCAGTGTGTAACCGCCAGGGTTGGGACCCAGAAGAAATGCAACATTCCCTCCGACGGGTAAGAAATGGGGCCGGGGGAGAAACAGGTCAACAAATGGGCTCAGGCTCCCAGGAGGCCCTGGGCAGGAGAGGAGGCCCAGGCGGCGCCGGGCAGAGGGACGATGCCGCTGCCCGTGGTCACGGGGACAGCGGAGCCACACACAGTGACACGGCTCAGCACGCCACTGGGTTGCTGACTAGGATGCAGCACATGCAATTTCAGGCCAAGCTGAAGGCTTGCAGGCTTGCATTCTCCCTCTCTCTCTTTTTTTTTTTTTTTCTTTTTTTAAAAATTTTTTTTATGGTAAAAACAGACCTTTTTTAATGGTGAAAACAAACAGGGCTGAGTTCTCCATGCCCCACCACGCTGTCCTCCGGCTGAGCTCCTCCAGGCTCGGGAACAGAAGCAGCGGGGCCTCCGCCGGGCAGGTGAGTATGTTGCCTGTGAGTACAGGGGTGCGCCGCGGTTCTCATAACGAAACAGAGCCCAGGACACGACATGGGCCGATCTCAACAGTACAGCATTGCATTGTTTTAATAGCAAGGAGATATGGAAGCAAGATCCGTTTACGTAGAGTTGGAAAACGCGCGAGGAAAGATCTGTATCTGTTCACATCTGTGGTAAAATACAAAGAGCGCGGTGGCGACACAGTCCCCAGATGATGGAAGGGGGCTGAGCGGAGGAGGTTCACAGGGGACTTGGATTGTGGGGGGGGGGTTTTCAAGCAACCGTCTCAAGCACATGTGAACTAGGGTAGGATGTTAAGATTTAGCAAAGCTGAGTGCTGGTACCTGACACCCATTCTCATTGTCTCGCTACTTCTCTGAATGCTTTAAAGGTTCCCACATAGTGAGCCCGGGGCTCAGCCCCAAGCACTGGCCTGTCGTAGAGACACCCCAACATCTTGGTGCCTCTCACCCGCGGCCGCAGGGAGAATCAGCTGGTTCGTTTAAGAAAGGCGTGTGCGAGTCCCCATCCCCGGGGCCCGGAGATGATTCTGCCGGCAACGGACAAGGGCGGTCTTCTTATTTTTCTGGGAGGAGCCTGCGACCGAGGTAGTGCCCTTGACCGGAATCGAACCCGGGGCCCCTCAGTCCGCAGGCGGACGTAAAGCATAACTTTAAACTTATGCCAGGAGGCCGTGGGGCGGCGGAGCGGCCGGGGCCTACCTGAGGGCACCTGGGCCAGGTGCTGGAAGGCCAGGTGCAGGTTCTCGCGGCAGGCCGGCTGCGGGTCGTTCAGCAGCTGGGACAGCGCGGTGACGATGCCGTCCCTCAGAAAGCCGTCCCTGCAGAGAAAGGCAGGTTCAGACACGAGGACTGATCCCCGAGAGGGCCCGGGGGAGTCAGGAGGCAGGTGCCCGCCCTCCTCCCCCCCTGGACTCTGAACCCGTGCGGGCAGCTGCAGGCCGCACCCTCTGGCTGCCTGAGAGAAGACCAAGGCCAGGATAGAGCGTCGGCTCCTAGACTGAAGTGTCCCGGGTTCGATTCCGGTCAAGGGTATGTCCCTCAGTTGCAGGCTTGGTCTCCCGCCCCATGTCACCCCAGCCCCAGTCCGGGTGCATGCAGAAGGCAAGCAATCAATGTGTTTCTCTCACCTCGATGTTTCTCTCTCTCTGTGTCTCTCCCTCTCCCTTCCACTCTCTCTAAAAATCAATGGAAAAATATCCTCAGGTGAGGATTAGCAACGCGCGCGCGCGCGCACACACACACACACACACACACAATAAGTAAATAAATAAAAATTCCTTGTTAAAAAAAAAAAAAAACAGAAAGGAAAAAAGACAACGGCCAGAAGAGAGCCGTGTGGCTTGAGGGGTGGAGGAAAGAGCTAGGACTTCGACTCGGGTTCTTGGTGGCCTGGAGGTTTCCCTTTGCTCCTCTGAGCCTCAGTCCCCGCGGTAACATGGGACAAGGCAGCAGAATCCATAACTGACCGCCCTTGACCTGCCAGCTGAGTGGCCCCTCTCCACCCGCCCAGCACTGAGGCTCCAGGGCAGCGAGCCCCCGCTGCCGGCCTCCAGACCTATGTACGCCTGTTGTCCTCATGATTATAATTCTATACGTTAAGTAAATACTAGGTAAGCCAGTTAGATGAGAGAAGAGGGTTTTTTAATTTCCTTATGAAAACCAGGTGGAATGCTTTGAGGAGACTCCAAAGTGAGTCTGTAAGACAAGTGAGATGATGATAGAAAGGCCCTAGGAGGTTTTTGCATACAGATGACTTCATTAATGTCTAACTTCTCGCTCTTCTCGAAAGAAACCACGGCTGCACATTAGACGACGTTGCAGGGTGGTTTAATTCCCAAAGAGGAGGGGAACCCCAGTCCGTGGGCCCACATCCCAGGGAAGGCCTGGTGGCACTGGGGGTGGACGAATGCCTAACCCTTTGTATTTGGGGTTAAGATGAACTGTTCAAAGGGAATGTACAAATCTCTGATTCCTGGCTTTTTGTTTTTCCATTGAAAACCAAAAAAAAGCCTGCCCTGGGTTTCCATACACAGTGGCCCACCTGCCCACGGTGTGGGTCGCCATGATGGACAGCACCTCGGTGGTCTTGATGCGCACCATGTGGTTGGTGTCCTTCAGCAAAACCCGCAGGCTCTCCAGGCAGCCTGTGGGGCAGAAAGACCTTTGAACGGTTATCAGTCTCCAGGTTCAACCAACCCAGAAGCCAACGGGTGAGCCACATCGGCAACAGCGATCAGCAGAGGCATCATGGCACTGAGGAAGGGTTTAGAGTCACCGCAGGGGGCTCTGTGTGCTCCCACCCAGGGACCATTCAGAAAATGCATTTGGAGCCTGGATGGCATGGCTCAGTGGTTGAGCATCGACCCAGCAACCGGGAGGTCACTGGTTCGATTCCCAGTCAGGGCACGTGCCCGGGTTGCAGACTCAATCCCTCATCATTGATGTTTCTACTCGCCCTTCCTCTGTGAAATCGATATATATATATTTAATCAGCCCTTCAGCTAAGGCTGGGGGAGAAGTGGCAGTTCACTCATCATGTGCCTGATCAGGGAAAGGTGTGGGTGGGCCGCTAAGATCACCTCAGCGTTCATTTTGGTCGTTAGGAGAGAGGGAAACAAGAGGTTCCCAGTACCATGTGGCTCCAATAGGGTGTTGCCTATCTTTCGTGGCTAAGACAGATCACAGGGCTGTTTGGTGGATTTGTGGCCACCTGGTCGGTCCAGCCGTAGCAGAGAGGGCTGCTCTGTGGCTCTGGGTCGGCTGCTGGGGGTGTCCTCCAAGGACGAGCTGACCAGCCAGGAGGGTCACCTCAACTCCTCCCACCGCCAGCTACTCTGTGTCTGTCCATCCAGACCCGAGTCACGGTCGCCTGGGCTCCGTGACACTCTCACCTATGTCGATGGCCACATAGACATGCTCGGGGTCATGCATGAGGTCGCACAGAGCCATGAGGGCTTTCTGCCTGGTCTGCAGGTCCTCGGACTGCAGTTCCTCGTTCAGCTTGGGCAGGGCCCGGCAGCCGTACGCGATGGAAGCCTGGGCGGGGTTGATGTCGGGGGGCAGGTACATGGAGATCCAGGTGTGGGCCATCTTTCCGCACCGGCAGGAGGTGACTCTCTCGCTTTCAAAATGGAGCTCCGCAGAAACCACTGGTGAGAAGAACCCCAAATGTTGTCATGAGTCCGACTGTGGTTTAGAAGCTACTTCTCATTCGATCCTCAAAACGGTAAGCACAGCTGAGTGGATATTTTTAATGTTTTTATTGATTTTTAGAGAGAGAGGAAGGGAGAGGGAGAGACAGAGAGAAACATCAATGTGAGAGAAACACATCGATGGGCTGCCTCCTGCACATGCCAGACCAGGGCCCCAGGCCAGCGAGGAGCCTGCAACCAAGGTACATGCCCTTGAAGGGAATTAAACCCGGGATCCTTCGGTCTGCAGGCCAACGTTCTATCCACTGAGCCAAACCAGCTAGGGCATGAATTATTTTTATTGCACACACACACACACACACACACACACACGGGGCATCTATAGGTAATCTGGCTTCGTACTCAGAACCGGCTCCAGACACAGGCCGTGGGCGGCCCTTGACAATCTCTTCCCCTCTGGGAGCTTTTGCAAAAAGGACTTGATAACAGCACCTCCTTCCCTTGATCCCGCGTGAACGACCCTCCTGGGCCTGGCACGCCAGGGCTCCCGATGCGTTCGTTGGCTGTTGGCTGTGGTCCTTATTGTGGGAGTGGTTGCTGCTGCCGGTGTTGAGTGGCCCTGACAGGCCCCCTCCCTGTAGGATTCTACCCCAGTTAAAAAACTAAGGCCAACTCTGATCTTAGGCACCAAGTGACAGGGAGAGACAGACGGGCCAGCTGGGCGGGGAAGGGGAGGGGCGGCCATTTCCGATTGGGGCTCCCCCTGCAGGGAATGCTGGGCTCCGGGGATCTCGGGAACAAGGGGGCCTGCCCTCCTGTATGTGGCTTGGGCTGCGGGAGTCCCGCCGCAGATGAGAGCGGACGCGGGACCCGTGTGAGCCAGACTGGATGGGTCTGAGGGTCCCCTGTCCCCCCTGTCTTGGGCCCCTGTCTGGTGCCGCAGGCTCACCTGCTTCAGCGTGCGCGGTCGCCCGTTGCTAGGCGACCCGGTTGCCAGGCGACCCCAGCGGCGTCCTCAGCGCTGCGCTCTGAACACTAGGCGCCCACCGCGCAGGCGCAGGCGGCGCGAGCAGCCTCGGTCTGGGGCCGGCTGTAAAGAGGGGACGATGCTACTTTACGGGGTTACCGCGGGGAACAAAGACGGCTCTGCTTTGTTCATAGCACCGAGGGGAAGGGAAATGAGTGTGAACGCCTTTCTCTGTGCGGGACACTTCGCAGGCCTTTAGTCCTCAAAGTAACCCCGTGAGCTGCTAACATGATCCAGGTTACAGGCAGGCCCCTCAGAGGTTTTCTTACTAGCTTGCCAAAACCACGCAGGCCAGAGCCCAGGACTGCCGAGCCCTGGCCCATGCTCCTTGCTCTGCAGGCTGATGGCCCGGGAATGACACAGATCGGCCCTCGCAGTGGACCCAATGCCCTGCTGACTGGAGCAATTGTGCTTGAAAGCAAGCCAGTCCCAGCCGTCACCTGCATATAACCCTCCATGGCTCCCCAGTGGCCTCAGGACAGAGTCCAAACATCCAGCCTGCCGCTCAAGACCCTGGGTGCCAGGCCGGATATGAGTGCTCCAAATGGCCACCTCCTCCATGCAGCCTGGGCTGCCAGGAACAGGAACCACCTCTGTGTCCTTCGGGGCACAGCTCGGTGGACAGACACCACCTCCATGAAGCCTGTCGTCTCCCCAACTCCATGTTAGTACCAGTAAATGATCCCGTAGCTTAATTAATTACCAGGAGGCTTTCAGTACGTGTAGAATAAATAAATGGGTCATGGACTTGAATCAAGCTTTATACTAATCTACAGAGCACTTTCATAGATAGTTGAGTCCATTTGATAGCTGAGTAAACTGAGGCACAGGAGAGGGTAGACTAACTCACATGAGTTCACCCGTAGGCCTGGGCCGCCGTGAAACTCACTAACAAAGGCGCCAAGCATCAACCTCCAACACACTTAGCTTTGAAATGCAGGTAATTGACTTAGATTTGCGGGCCAAGGATGCCATATTGTGATGTGGAAATCTGCCCCCTACTGCTGTCCTTCAAAGGACAAAGTCAGGGAGGGTCTCTCTGACCCTGAGCCTTTTGAGGAGTGTGGGGCAGACAGCGAAAGGCTGGGTGTCAGGAAACCTGGGTTATGATTCTAGTTCTAACGCACGTGGCAACACTTTTCAATTGTGTGAGCCTTAGTTTCCTTGTCTGTGAAATGGGAAGCTGGATAAAATAGATTCTCAAAGCTGGGAACCCTGGGCCTCTCAGAATCTGGGTATACAGTCTTTTTTTTTTTTTTTTTTTAAAGTGCCCTTCGGCTCGGCTGGCGTGGCTCAGTGGTTGAGCGTCGATCTATGAAAAATCATATTCAATATATTACAAAAATAAACACTTACACACGTCACATCATAACCCCTACCAGTTTGAGCTCCCACCCCTCCCGGCTACATTGATTGTCAGAGAGGTCTCTCCACCATCAGCCCCGCCCAGACCCCCATCTTTGGATCCAGGCTCCACCCAGACCGCGATGACCCCGCCCACATCCCCATATCCAACCCGGCCCTCGTTTCCATGGTGATCGCAAGCGCTCCCTGGCTCGGGGGCGGAGGGGGGGAGGGCAGGCAGCAGCCTAGTCAAGTGCCCACTACTCCCGGGAGGCTCTGGTTGCTATGGTGACGCCTCGGGCACGCCGCAGTGGGATTGCTTCCGCTCCGAGCCCCGCCCAGACCCAGCCCCCGACGTCCAGGATTGGTCAGATGCTCTCCGGTCGCGCGTGGTCATCGTTGCCATGGTGATTGCCGCAGCGAACCGAGCCGGACCAGGCTGCGCTGAACCCGAATCCTCCGCCGCCGCTGCTGCCAGTGAGTCCGCCGCGCCTCTGTCCTCCCCTTGGCCCGCCTCCCACCTCCCACCTCCCACCTCCGGGCGGGCGCGTCGCGGAGGCCCCGGTCGGAAGGACGCCGCGTCCCGCCCACCTCCCACCCCCAGGATCTGAACGCGGCCTGAGGCCCTGAGGCCTCAGCATTTCCTGAACCCCCGACCCTGAACGCCCCGTTCTGGGCCTGGAGGGGAGCTGGGTCAGAGCGAGGACAACAGGCCTGGGTCAAGGCCACCCTAGCGGAGAAGCGGGCAGAGGAAGGCGCGGTCGGCCGGGCTGACTAGGCGCCGGGGGCGCGGTCCTGGGTGGGGTGACAGGCCTGTGGGCTGAAACCCAAGAGCCCGCCTGCGAGGCCTGCGATGTTTGTGCCTCACTCACAACCAGTCACACGCTCAGAGAGGGGCCACTCCCGGGTGGACACCCACATCCCGCAGCAGGAGGGAGGCCAGGTCTTCGGGACTCCCCACCCCCACCTCCTGCCTGCGGACTGAAAGAGGTGACGCTGGGCCAGACGCCTGGCAAGGGGGAGGAGGAGGCTTGGACCTGCTGTTAAAGCCCCTGGAAAGTTAGGCTTAAACCCCAGGCGTCGGCACAGCTCCCTAACCCTTTCCCTGGTTGGGTCTCCAGAACTCTCCGGAAGGATGAGGGCCTCCCTGCCGCCTCTGGGGCCCCCTGTGAGCCGGGACCGCATCATCGCCAGCTTCCCTAAGGTAGGGAGTCCTGAGGCCAGACCTTGACATGAGCAGTGAGCACTGCGCTCCCCAGACCGTGTCCACAAATATCACCTTTAACCGGTATCCGCACTTTTAACCGGTATCCGCACTTTTAACTGGTATCCACTCTTTTAACCGGTATCTGCATTTTTAACCGGTATCCGCACTTTTAACCGGTTAAGAGCTCCTTGCATACCGGTTAAAAGTGCGGATACCGGTTTAAAATGGTAGCTTTCCCCACCTGCACTCACCACCAAAAACAAGGCAGGTGAACCGGGGAGGCCAGTTCCTTGCTGACAGACTTCCTGAGACGCTGGGAGACATGGCGCTGGCTTGGCCAGGGTGGGCCAGGAGCCAGTGTGGCCTGGAAGTTAAGGGCACGGACTTTGCAATCAGACAGTCCTGGGTGTGAATCCTAAGTCCGTCATTACGCTGTGTGACTGTGGGCAAGTTACTCAGCCGCTCGGAGCCACTGTCTGTCTGTCTGACTCCTTGCAGTGGTACACGCCCGACGCCTGCCTGCAACTCAAGGAGCACTTCCACGGGCAGGTCAGCGCCGCCTGCCAGCGCAGGAACACGGGGACCGTCGGGTGAGCGCCCCTCAGCGCCCAGGGCGTGGGGTGTGGGGGGCTGGCAGGGAGGAATGAGAGCATGCGTGGACATGCGAGTGCATACGTGACACACCCATACTGCCCCGTGCAGCCCAGGATGGGCCTGAACCTGATGGGAGTTTCCGCTGCTTCATTGGGCACACGGCTGCCGCGTGACCATTTCCCAACAAGTCACGCATGTGATATCCTCAGCCTGAGGTCTCGGCATCTGTCTTCCGTTTGTAT